AACAAACGTGAAAAAGAAATTTACAAAACGAGTTTTCGAAACAACAAACCACCGCGAAACCATCTACGAGTAGTGAATACAGTATAAAATGGAAATACTCGTAAATTATACTCGTAAGGAAGAAGAACAGTACCTGGTTTAAGGAAAAGTTACGCTTCCATGGCGATAAATACAGAATTCAAAGCAAAAAAACATGGACGATATATAAGAAGAAAATAAAGAAAAAGAAACAAAGCTAACTTGTTTCTGTGCTTCTCAGAGAGAAAAAGGACGGGGAGAGAGAGAGAGAGGGCTTATTATAGAGAGAGAAAGCGGGGGCTGAGGTTCGTTTCAATGGACGGAGATGAGCGCCACCACGCGCGGCGGCGGCGACGGCGAGTCGTGTGACACGTGGCAATCATGATTCGGTGGTCGATTGGATCATCTACAGGCGTATTCACCAAGATGATACGTTTAGCGAATTAAATCATACCACGTGTATGGGTTGTGTTGTTGCGGCGGAAATGAATGTTGTGGGGCGCTTATTTTTTTAGGGGTGTTAGTACACGTGCGAGTTGGCGCGTGGAGTTGTAAATCTGGCTTTTTTTGGAAATAAATTTTTTCTTTTATGTGTTTTATTTTTTTAATGTTCTGAAATGACCCATTGGGCTTTCTTTGTGTATTTATTATTTTAAAAAGTTAAAAATATATAGTTGGAACATTAAATTAAATAATTTCTTTTTTTTTTCTTTTCTTTTCTTTTATTTTTTTGGGTGGAGGAGTCAAATGTTTTGAAATGTTGAATGGCTTAGTTTTTCGTCAACTTACTTCCGGATAAAATATGGATTAGACCTAGGGGTAATATTGGTAATATATATTTATTGTTTCGTCTCGAAACTCAACTAATAAAGTTTTAGCTGCCGTAAATAAATCAACAAAATTTCTAATTTTTTATTGCTCGACATTCTAAAAATATCTCATTTTTTTCAAATAAGGAAGCTCGTAAAATCTCACAGTTACTTATACCTCACCATAATCACCTCCGTAAAATCCACTGCTAACAGATATTATTTTATTAAACCTGTTACATATCGACAACCGCCTTTTGGTTTTAAAACATGTCTAAAAGAGAGAGATTTCACACCCTTATAAGAAATGTTTGGTCCCGTCTTCGATCAATGTAGGATATCATAACTTTGTTTAATGTGTTGTTGAGTTTATCGATTAATAATTAATTTTTTTTTTTAAATATAGGTTGAAACAATTAATTGCCTTCTTAAAGATTGATTTTGTTGGTAATAATTAGATATAAAAGATATTATAATATTTTTAAATAAAAAAAACAATATTTTTCCTATTTATCTTTTATATGTAGAGATGCGCCTTGACTTGAATTTATCATATATTTCTAAATTATTAATTTATTGAAAATAAAATAAGAGATTAAATTATGTTTAAAATTTTGAAAATGACATTTTTTAAATAAGAAACTGATTGAAAATCTTTTTTTAATAATAATAATTTTACCGGTCAATTTAGAACAAATCTACGGTTTAATAACATCTCAAATCTATGAAATTAGGGCAAAGACGGGAAAGTCTTCCGTGTCCTCGTCCTCACCTCCTATTTCATTTTTTATTCCACGAAATTCTCTATATACTTTTACGAGATCGGGACAATGATCTCCGAAAAAGTTCACATACGCAAACAAAAATATAATATAATATTCAACATACTTTCTAAAAAATTGAACGCTACAACGTATTTTTCAATGTTTGAAATTTTATTTATTTATGAAGTATATATATACAAGTGACCGGGTGGTGCTCGGATCGGGGACTGATTCTCATCCTCACTCCCTCCATTTTTCTATTTAAACGAGATTCTCAGCTCCATTCGAGACGGTTTTCAAATTAAATAGATATCGAAAGTCGTTTATTCAGATTTGTAGTATTTAAATTAGAGAGAAATATATACCTTTTAATTTTTTAAATTTGTAACTTTATAATATTATATTATATGATGGTTTATTTAATATCACTGTTACCTAATTATAGGTGTAATTACGAGTAATATACGTATACCAATAATAATGATTAGGAGCGTTTAAATGATTGGAGAATTCGACTAATCTAAACCACCCGATCTAAATATGTTGGATTTTTTCTTTAGATTTGGATCGGGTTGAATTTTTTGAAAATAAAAAAATTTGGGCTCGTTTGCAAGTTGACATTTTATTTGTTAGGTCAACCCGACCAACTTGAAAATAGAGTTATGATCCATCTTTTTTCAAATCTCCGGGTCCTGCGGAAGAAAGGAAAAAGAATTTCACTGTTTCCTTTCGCTTTCGGGAAGGGAGGATTAAGAAAATCCTATTGATTGGAGCTTTCTCCAGACCTCCGAGAAAAGCATGAAAAAAAAAGTCTCGAATGGTACGATCCCTCCGTCACCCCAGAATGAAAGGGGTGATCTCGTAGTTCTTGGTCAGTGAAGATACGTTGTTAGGTTTTATTTTCTCGTTGAGGCTGAACCTGAACCTGTGCTCAAGAGATAGCTGTCCATATACTGATAAGGGATGTATGGATTCTCGAGAAGAGAGGAGCCGAGGTGGTCCCCCGCGGACCGCCGAGATCCCACGAGTGAATAGAAAGTTGGAATTTTTAATCAACTTAACAACAACCTAATTCCAACCTAATTCATATAGGACTCAAATCTTGTTTAATTGTAAATTAGTCCCTGAACTTTTTTATATTTACTAAATTATTAGGTATAAATTTAAATTTATATATTCACCAACCTGATCACCTTCTCCGTCTACCACGAGAAACGAGCATGTTCTTTTTGCTGAAAGATCGACAGCAATGAAACTTTCATGCCCTACTTTTCTCCGTCCTCAAAGAAATCGTCACTTCTCCTTTAAAATTCCTCAATCCGCCATGGATTTCTCTCCTTCTTCTCCGCAATCTCAATCAGCCTCAAAGCCGCCATGGCCGTCGCGCCTTTCTCCTTAACAGACGAAGATCTGACCAAAGATGAGCCGCTGAAACTCCTATCTCCGGCCAATCCGACGCCGGAGGAAACAATCTTCCTATCAAACATCGATCTGGCGGTGGCGTTCACCGTCGAAACCGTTTACTTCTTCGAAGACGGTCCGGCGGCGGAGATGTCGAGGATGGTGAAGAGAGCGATGGCGGTGCTTTTGGTTCCGTACTATTTCTTGGCTGGTCGGCTTCAGGTGAACCGGGAGACTGGCCGATTGGAACTGGTTTGTAACAATGCCGGCGTTGTGTTTGTGAATGCGAAATCGAAGGTAATGATGAAGGAACTTGGGGATTTGTCTCTTCCGAATCCGAGTTTTTGTCAGTTTGTTCATCGGCCTGGACTCCATAGAAGCCTCCCGGAAAGAGCTCTGTTTACGATTCAGGTATAGGACGAGAAATGGTTGCATCAATTTGTAAGATCTTCAAATAACTTAGATATTAAATCATCTCTACTTCTATTAGGTTACGAAGTTCGCATGCGGCGGCTATGCGATTGGAATGGTGACGAACCACGGCGTTTTGGACGGCAAATCCGCCGCAGATATGTTCCAAAACCTAGCCTCAATCTGCCGCGGCCAAGGCCTCAAAACCCAAACCATTTTCAACAACAGAACATGCTTCAAAGCTCGAATCCCCCCTCTTATCACACACCCTCACCAAGAATACACTTGCATTTCTCCAACTCAAAAACTCCCCTCCGCCTTCACCACCGTCACCAAGCTCTCCCCCTCTCCAGCGCCGCCAATCGCCGTCGAAAACCGCCGTCACACCGTTATCCCTTTCTCTCCCTCCACCATCGCTGCCCTAAAGCGTACCGCCGCTCCGTGTTCCACCTTCCAGGCCATATTGGCTCAGCTCTGGCGGGCCAGGACTCGAGCGGTTTATACAGACCGGCCGGATGAAATCTCCATGGTTCTCTTTGCGGTTGATGTCCGGTCCAAGATCCGCCCGGTTCTCCCCGATGGGTTCGTCGGGAACGCAGTGGTGACTGGGTTTGCGGCGGCGCGTGCGGCGGAGGTGGTGGAGCGGCCATTTTCGTTTTGCGTGGAGAAGGTGAAGGAGGGGATTGAAAGAGTCTCAACGGAGGAGTATGTGAGGTCGGCGATTGATTGGCTGGAGGTTTATAGAGGCATTCCGGCGACTTGTAATGGGAATAGTTTTTATGTTTCGGCTTGGTGGAAATTGGCGTTCAGGGAGCTGGATTTCGGGTTCGGGAAGCCAATCCACGGCGGTCCGGTGGCAAATGGGAACGATGAGTTTGTGCTGCTGCTTTCTCCGGCCAACGGCAGCCGGGGGAGTACAAGTAGTGTCAATGCTTGGATCAGTATGGAGGAGGAGAAGATGAAGAAGTTCTTGCACCATGTATTTGCAATATGATCAAATAGCCTTAAGTTTCTTTGTCTGTACCTATATTTTCCAAAGTTTTTTCTTTTAAGATTTTAAAAACTTGTTCTCTACTATGGAGAAACGGTGGGAAAACGGATAATCACGTGTAACATCGATCAAAAGATTACAAATTTGAATCTCCCGCCTCAATGTTGGATAAGATGGATCCTAGATCGGACGTCGACCGTGTTTGCAAAATTCGCCCGACCGTGTTTGCAAAATTTGCCCGTGTCGACCACAAAGAGAATTGGGCAGATCTTGGACCTATGTCGATCAAAAGTAGACAACATAATACGACGCTCGCGTTTGCAAGTTCACTTGAAATTAAACGAAACAAAAATGTGACTTACAAGTTTCAATTACGTCCCTAAATATTAGGATAAATTACAATTTTGCCCTTATTGTTTCGAGAGTCATTTTAAACCCTACTTTCAAGAAGTCGTTCAAAACAACAAATTCGTTTGGAGGAGGACGATGACGGCTTAAATTATCTTGTTAAGTTTGTATCCGCTCGATATGTACTACTCTCTCCATTGGACTTGGAGATTCGATCTTCTAACCGGACAATTATTTTATTCTAAAATTCTATAATAACTTAATTCACGATTTAAAATGTTCATTTTAGTAAGAAATCTAAGTTAGGAAGAGATTTATCTCAAATGGAGTCGTCCATTCCACTCCACACTCCCAAGGAAATCACTTACTAAAATCGTAGTCAAGGAGGGAGAGAAATTTGATTTCAGGAGAAAAGGAGGAAGCGGCAGCGATCAACAAACGGAGGTATGTTGTTTATGAATTAGAATCAAAGAAAGTTATCTAGGTAGGAACCAGACGGCGGTAATAGCCATAGCGATCCTTTCAGCTAAGAAGTTTCGTGGGATAGCTACAAAGGCTTTAGCGTTCTCTTTAATTTCGTCTGGTCTTAGTGGATTTTGTTGTTCTTTTGATGATTTGACTTTCTGTTAGTATTGATGGAAAGATGAGTAGAATAAGAAGATTAGCAGGCTGATCTTTGCCATGTTGTTCGATCAATTGACATGAGCTTAAAATTAGGGTTCCTAGAAATGACTATCTCGGAGGATTCGGCAATCGATTCAAAAATCTCTCCTCCAAATTCATATGAATCTGTAGTTCTTGGTGGAACTTTTGATCGATTACACGACGGTCACCGTCTCTTTCTCAAGGTATCTCTTCTTACTTTTAATGGCTTTTTCCCCTTTAAGTTTTGGTAGTAAATGGTGGAATTTAGGCTGCAGCAGAGCTGGCTAGGGATCGGATTCTGATTGGAGTTTGTGATGGTCCTATGCTGAGTAAAAAAAAGGTACTCACCTCTTCCTGAACCAGCAGCATTTACTTCATTTTTGTTCATTTCTTTTTTGCTGTTCGATCATTTTTAGTTCTTCTTTATCAACATTTGGAAGCTTTAAACATACTTCCGTTCTATTCTGGATAGCTGGTATTGAGTTTAAGAAATCTATTCAATGTGTGGTTTACAAACTTTTAGTGCATTGCCAGTTAGTGTTACAACATATTATGCGTCTGTTTAGCCCTCGATCAACACGAAGTTCTTTCCGTTTGTTATTATCAGTATTGGAACTGCAACTTTGTTATTTACTGATTGGTAGAAGAAAATAATTTGTGAGATCTCCCATCGGTTGGAGAGGGAAACAAAACATTCTTATAAGGGTGTGAAAACCTCTCCCTAGCAGATGTGTTTTAAAATCGTGAGGCTGACAACGATACGTAACGGGTCAAGCAGACAATATCTGCTAGCGGTGGGCTTGGGCTGTTACAAATGGTATCAAAGCCAAACATCGGGCAGTGTGCCAGCGAGGAAGCTGGCCCCCAAGGGCGGTGGATTGTGAGATCTCACGTTGGTTGGAAAGGGGAACGAAGCTATCCTTTCAAGGGCGTGGAAACCTCTCCCTAGTAGATGCGTTTTAAAATCGTGAGGCTGACAATGATACATAATAGGCCAAAGCGGATAATATCTGCTAGCGGTGAGTTTGGGTTGTTACAAATGATATCAGAGCCAGACACTGGGCAGTGTGCCAGTGAGGACGCTGGGCCCCCAAGGGGGGTGGATTGTGACATCCCACAACCGGTTGGAGAGGGGAACAAAACATTCCTTATAAGGGTGTGGAAACCTCTCCCTAGTAGACATGTTTTAAAATCGCAAGGTCGACGACGATGCGTAACGGGCCAAGCAGACGATATCTGCTAGCCGTGGGCTCGGGCTGTTACATAATCTGCCACTTATTACAAGTGCTCTAGATAGTTATTTTCTTTATAGAAGCCATGGGCGATTACTTTAAGGAAAAGTATGAAGGTCAAGTATTTGTCGTTTCGTTTATAGAAGGAAAGTTGCTTTCTAGAAGGACACCATGAAAAGTAGTCACTTTAGAGGTGTTATAAGATGCTTGATGTATAATCACCTCCTTTATTTCTTTGATGTAATTTAAAGCTGTTCTGTTGATGATGTCGATGAAACCTTATTTGTTTCTGGGGCGAGGAGATTGAGATGGTAATCTAAATTGCTTTTTTACTTCATCGCAGTTTCGGGAACTTATACAACCCATTGAGGAAAGGATGCAAAATGTTGTAGATTATGTCAAGGTACTTCATTTGAGAACCTTTTTCTTTTTGGGTTTCATGGGTTAGGCAGGTTTTCTTGCTGTAGTTGTTAATGAAAAAATGGTATAGGTGCGTTTTATACTTCATTTCAGCTTCTTTTTTTTCTTCTTGTTTTCTCGTTCTTGTTTTGAGGAACGAAAAGATTAATTGATTGAGCTACAACCACAACAGCCTTAGGCATGGGAGAAAGACAACCAAGGAAACGCCAAATCCCTCATTGGCTAAACAATCATTTGGTTATGTTTAGCCATTTTGGGCTTTGCTTTAACCGAAGCTATTCATTGTTTGTGTGAGATCCCACATCGGTTGGGGAAGAGAACGAAACATTCTTTATAAGGGTGTGGAAACCTCTCCCCAGCAGATACATTTTAAAAACCTTGAGGGAAAGTCCGAAAGGAAAAGTCCAGAGAGGATAGTATTTGTGTTTTAAAACCGTGGGGCTGACGGCGATACGTAACGGGCTAAAGCGGACAATATCTGTTAGTGGTGGATTTGGGCTGTTACACTACCCCTCCCCTTGTAACCAGTTTAACGGTATCCGTTGTGAATACGATCCCACAATTCAGCTAGACCTCAGCTAGTCATGTTCTTGATCATTTTTTGAATGGTAGTACAGACTAGAAGTTAATGATAACAACTCATCAACTTTAGTTTATGCTTGCAAAATTTGTTTCAAGTTTAAACTGCAACTTTGCTGCATGGACCTGGCTTAGATTCCATGGACCAAGAAGTCCATTTCTGGCATATGTTCATGAAAACAAATTCATTCCTCATTGACTCCGTTTCATATCTTATGAATAAATGTTATTTCATTGCTACTTGCATTTCTCAAGTCACGTCATGAGACGATTTTTGCAGTCTGTGAAGCCAGCACTCTTGGTACACGTCGAACCTATCGTCGATCCATATGGCCCATCCATTGTCGACGAAACTTTGGAGGCGATCGTTGTCAGGTTTTCCCATTACTATGTTTATTTTCCAATAAACTCTTCACCTTAAATCTGATGTTGCTTTTCTGGGTTATTCCTTTTGGCAGCAAAGAGACATTAGCAGGTGGAATGTCGGTTAATAAGAAGCGTGGCGAGAAGGGGCTTCCGCTACTGAAGGTCGGTCCGAGTCTTTTCTCGTCGTCTTTGTCTGCAATACCAAAAGAAAATTCCATTCTAAACTCAATCCATTCGATGTTTCTGGTTTGCAGATTGAAGTTGTTGATTTAGTTACTGAGGAGTCCGGTGGAGATAAGCTGAGTTCCTCGACACTAAGAAAGCTTGAGGCAGAGAAGGCTGCCCCTGCCTTGCAGCAACAGACACCAAACATTACTCATGAAGCTAACATATAAATAAAGCTCCGTCGAGAAATTATTTGTAAGAGATCTCAACACATTATCTTGAATTCATATGAACATTCTCATAATGTTAAACCCAATAAATTATCATAAAGACTCGATAGATCTGGTATGTGCTTTCTGTCTGAATTTCTGTTCGGGAACTACGGACCTCTACAATAGTATGATATTTTCTACTTTGAGCATAAGTTCTCATAGTTTTGTTTTTGGTTTCCCCGAAAGGCCTTGTACCAATGAAGATACTATTTCTTACTTATAAGCTCGTGATCATTGCCTTAGTCAGCCAATGTGGGACTCCCTCCCAACAATCTCAACACAAATGTTTAAGAGTATGTTTGAGAATGTGGTTGCGACATTTTTTTAAGAGATTTAGAATATTTTTGAGATTTAGTAATAATTAAGAATTGATTTTAAGACAGAATATTTTCATGAGAGTTTTCTTCATGGTAATGGTTGGCAAAGCGGTACCTTCGGGGGTATGTGGCTTGTGCGTGCCAGATTCTCGACCTATTTCGGCACTAGTGAAATGGGGTGAACCAGACCTATTTCGGCACTAGTGAAATGGGGTGAACCACCCAGATCTTGAATCAATTAGTAGATCATCAAATCAACACAGTCTCTACGCGAGTTGGAGATGGGACAGCCCACGACCCTTATCAATCATACACTCCTTTAAACGAGATATTTAACCAAATTATAGGAATAAATAAATGAGATATTTAACCAAATTATAGGGATTAAATAAAAAAATTGTCTTAACGACAAGGACCCATTTATAATTTAACACTTTATTTATTACCCCAAAGAGAGGACTATATATATATATAAAACTATTGTTTGGAGAACTAAAAAAAATCAAGAAGAAAAGTTATATAAAATATTATTAAATTTATGAAATTTATACTGTTTGCATAGAAAAAATAATAATTACAAAAGTAGAGGGAAGATAGATATATGCTAATTCTTAATTATTGAAACAAACAAATTAAATTTATTTTAAAAGTTATTTTGTCAATTTCTTATTAATAAAAATATGTTTTAAAAAAAAAAACCTATCCAAAGTTTTATTTTTTTAATATAATTTTTTAAAAATAAATTTCATAATCAATTTTGCGTAAATATTAATAATGCAAAAAAAAAAAAAAAAAAAAAATTCAATT